GGATGTATTTTAGAGATTTCTATCTCAAGCTGTTGAAGGGAACAGTTTGGTACCTAAGGTGTAAGTCGCAGGCATATGGAGGCTTGTTTTCCAGGACCCTCGCCTCCTTAGACAACAGGGACATTACTGGGATGAGACACGGGGCTCGCGGGACCCAGAGATGGGTTTGGGGCAGCATGCGTGTTGTCAGCCCCCGGGGTGTTGTTAGGAGATGTTAATTTGTTGCCGATATTCAGAAATGGGGAAACTGCCCACGGCTACCGGCCCTCATCCTCACACGGTGCCGGGAAGTGCCGATCGGTGTCCTGGTGCCCGTCCCTCCCGGCAGCACACTCCTCGGGGCCGCCTCCTGGTCCCGCTGCGTCACTCACTCCCGCCTGGGGGCTCCGGGGAGCAGCTGGGCGAGCTCGCTGCGCAGGGCCGGCTTCGGGGCTCCCTGTGCTTCGCCGTGCCCCCACCGAGACCCGTGATGGCCCGCTGACACACACACTGGACCACTGGACCACTGGCCGTCCCCTCACCCACGGTCTGTGACCCACGGTCGGTGGCGGTGCAGAAGCAGGCGATCCTTCCTCTGACTCAGCACCCGGTCAGTAGCAGGCCGGCAGCTCACACGCCGTTCCTCCCTTCGTCACATCCCGTGGGCATCTCATCATCTCACGCCGTCCCTAGAAGGGAGGGTACGTGCGTGAAGGCACTGGGAGACCACAGTCACGGAGCCTTGGTTACAACGTTGTTGGAACTGCTCTATTTTGTTACTGCTGTTTGTCTCTTACGCACAAGGACTACACATAGGAAGGACGCGGCATATGTAGGGCTCGGCAGGTGCAGGCGTCCATGGTGGGTGGGGTTGGAGCCCGCAGAGAAGGGGCGGGGGAGGAACTCCTGTATTTAGTCTCGGGTCGGGCACCAGATGAGAATCTACTGAAATGTCAGGACAGGAGGCTGTTGGCCATCTGGCTGTGTTGACAGCCACTGCACACGGCTGCTGGATCCTGAGGAAGGAAGGAGGCACAGAGAGCATTGCCACTGGAGGCCGGCCTGGGCTGGGCACCGAGCCCTCCCCTGCCTGGCCTCCTCCGTGAGCACCTCGCCTCCCACGAGCAGCCCCCACAGCCTTTCGTGGTCGTGTGGCCTGGGTGCCCGGGCCAGACGATCAGGACAGTGCAGCGGTGTCATGGGTCAGGTGCAAGAGGGTGAGCTCCTGGTCTTCCTGAGCCCCGGGGTTCTGGTCCGTTTTGCGGGCATCCACTGAGGGCCAGGATCAGCGTGTCGCCTCAGTTCGCTCCCTACTGGCCCGTCCTGGGCGGCAGAACTGCGCGTCTTGCAGAC